ATGATTTAAAATCTGGCTGTTCAGACCAGGTCATAACTCCAGTTGTCTGCGCATGCACCTCTGCCACTAGCTTGCCACTATTACACATTACTAACTTTGTGTCTCCTCTCTCCTGTAGTGTGTCCTCTCTCTCTCCCTGTACCTTTCTGCAGGTTGCCCTGGCCCTGGAGCTCTATGTCTCTGACGAGCAGTCACCGGCCACATCGACCTGATCAGTGTTTGATTGTTGTGTCTTGTTGCTTTTCTTCTTTTGTCTCTCCTCTATCCACTCACCCCAACCGGTCGAGGCAGAAGGCCGCCCACCAAGAGCCGGGGTCTGTCGGAGGTTTCTTCCGTTAAAGGGAGTTTTTCCTCCCCACTGTCGCCAAGTGCTTGCTCAAGGGGGATTTGTTGGGTTTTCCCTATGTAATAATATTGATAACAGTAAGGTCTAGACCTTACTTTGTAAAGTGTCCTGAGATGACTTTTGTTGTGATTTGGTGCTATACAAATAAAATTTGATTTGATTTGACTATATGATTTTGTAAAATGAAATAAAATAATCAGCTGAGAGGAAAATAGAGTTTTCCCTGATTTCATGACTACTCTGATAGCAGGTATCGTATGAACTGAAATCGCCATTGCCGCAGCCATTAACTCTGACTGCCTCTACATCACTGTCTTGACAAATATTTCACAGATTTAAAATTTATCTATGTTATAATTTACTATACAAATCAATTCTCCACTTACAACAGCAGAGAACATCTGTAAAATCTATTTTAGAGCTGAACCAGTCAGTGCAATAATTGGCAAAAAACTACTTATTAATTAAAATAGTTGAGCATTTACATTTTTTTGAATGTGAGGATTCGCTGTTTAATAGCATTGCTGACTCGACATCCTTTGGTTTTGAGGTTGCACAAAATAATGTCAAGACGTGATTTTGAGCCCTAGACTTTTTTATGGCGGTGTGTGTTTTTTTCATCACTGTTTATTCGAAATCAGTTACATTTCTGCCATCTTCTGCTTCGCCAATACTATAGGATATTATAGGACCACTGCTGTTTAAATGCAATATAATGATAGAGGAAATACAGTTTTCACACTATAACAACCTGCTATGACTGGTTTTACCTGCACCCATTTGATGTATCCATAAGTGAAGCTTCCCACCAATTTGGATTCCAACATGTGCTCTGAAAGATTACCATTTCACACGTATTTGAAACTAACCCACTGCATTGTTATTGTTAACCCTTTGCTTCTTTCCCCTACACCTTTCTTTACAGTGTTGGCCTCCAAGCAAACATACATAAGCTACAGTAACCATGCCATCTAAAATAGAGACCAGTGGTGGAAGTGGAGTAATGGCCTGCCTGAAGAGAAATCGCCTGATTCTGGGGAATACCTGGGAAATACTGAAGGACCTTGAAGCTGCTCTAGCTGAGTGGACTGGGGTGGAAAGATGGGAATTTGTTGTTCCATAAATTGAAAGGATGTCATATTTTTCTAAAGAATCAGGTAAAGGCGTGAATGCCAAATTTATGAGAAATAAGTATTTGCGCTAGAGTGATGGGAGACCGGACAACAAGTTTCCTCTTCCCACCCTTTCTGACCCATGAGTAAGTGGTGAACGTTGATAAGTCCAGATGTGGGCTGAGTGAAGCACCTGGAGCCTACAGTATGTTTTTCTTCTGAAGTGTATAGCACACAGTTTCAGTTCTGTCCAAGGCTGAATCGTTTGTCTCATTTTAACAAAAAAAGAAAAGAAAAAAAAACTGGGATAAAGTGGCTCTGTTTTTGCTCAAGTCAAATGCAGATGAAAGTTTTAAAAAAAATCTTTTTGGTTACTAGTATTAATGGAGCTGAAAGCTGCAGTATTCTTCAAACTGTACATGCCTTATTACGGGACATTCAGTACTCCTACACTGACTAACCATATCGGAAACACCTGAAAATGAAGCAACCGGTCATCACAGTTTTTTAAAAATAAATGTTTCATAATGATGATGATGCTATCATCTTGGTAAACCTACAGTAGTGTACAGTCCCAGAGCATGCTTGTGGGAGCATCACGTGTACTGTGCTGTGTTGTCAACGTCTATGGAATGCAACATTTGTCAGTCGGCAGTGGAGACGTCATTTTGGACCATTATGCACTGGGTTACCCTCTGCTGAACAACGAGTAATGCCAAACACTAAAGGAGCCTTTATGGTTTACAGCACACTCAATAAATGTCAGCCAGGACTTGACAGTTCCTGCTTTAAACAACCCAGATTTACTGGCCCTTATTTATCAAGTGCTTGTTGAAGTCTTTTTAAGCCGAAGCAGTTGGATGATTGTAAAGAAATTTAAGTTGATACATTTAACTTTGATCACAGTTATCACTAAAAGTGAAGTTTTTCACACAAATGCAATTAACCAATGTTGTTTCTATATTATCCTATGGTTTCTGTATTCATTTGTGTTTAGAGATATCAAACTTTTTCCAACATTTTAAATTGTATCTTTAATTTTTGTTGCAGTGGAGCAAGAAAAATACAGCTGCTACAGTATATTTTGTCAAAACACATGATTTTTTGAGGAAATAAAATAATAAGTCAGTCTGTTATCATACCTGATATTTTTTGTAATGCATGACCTTGTGTGATAGATTGCATATTATTACAATGGCGACAACCTGTTATGGATGCACAAGTCACACGTGCTCTTGCAAAAGGTTTTTTTACACCGTTTTTTTCTCTTCTGTGTCATTAATTGTAAGGCTGCCGTAGAACCGATACATGAGATTTTTTACTAGTATTTGGCTCAAGACCAATTGGAGAATTTGCCAGCTCAGTTCTAACAGTCAAAATGTTCAAAGATCATAAAGGATAACTGCTTGATAAATAAGGGCCGTAGCCTTCATTTTGTTCCTCATGTGTACACCTTAATACACCTTCTTTCCACGGATCCTTAATGTTCTTGCTGCATCCATTATTCTGTTCCAACATAAGGAAGAAATGATTCAATGTACAATCTATAGTTAAATGTGAAACCTCCATTTGTCTCCAGTCTCTAAAGTATTTGTCATAAACCGTAACTCTGGAATCCGTTTCATTAAATGTTTTCAGAAATGCAAAAATCTGTATGTTGCATGTCAAAACTCATACGAAGTCATGAACAATTTGACAGAAAGGTGCCCAGAACTAATATTTTGGTTTAATCAATTATTGTCTCAGCTTCAACAAAAGCCTAAGGTGGTGCCGCAAATGTTTAATCATCATTTGATCAGTATCGTTTGTGAGATTGTTTGTGAATATGACAATTTTCTGCTTTCAGCCACAACACCTCTTTTTTATTTTTCTAAAACACTTTGTGTTCACAAAATAGAATATGTAAGTGCTGACTGACATTAAATGGCAAGTTAGTGTACCTTATTAAAATGAATCAATTATGTCTGCTTTATGTACCGAATTATTTTAAAAAACAAAAAAGAATTACAGTGCCTGGATATTTATGAATTATCTATAGAGAAAAAAGTGTAGAGCATGTTCATTTTTATACAAGATATTTCTAATAAAATATTGTTTTGCTAATGAAGTGTTACTGCTTTTTTGTTAGCATGTTTCATTAGCAGGTCAATACAAATTGAGTACATTTCTCCTAAATAGTAACACAAAACAACTTTTCCATAAATTATCTACAATTATCCTCATATCAATTCCAAATATTGTTCAATT